GCAAGATCCTGAAGAACTTCTCCTCGCCCTGCACTGTCATCTCTGCTCTGCAGAAAACCTCCACAAACCACCTGAAGAACACGCGGGGGAAGTTTCCTGGTGGGTAGGCCTCTCTCCATAGGAGGACCAGGGTGGATGGGGGATCTCCTGTATGTCTGCCATTGGCCCCTCAGTCAGCTAGTAACTCCTGGGAGGCAGCAAATGCTGGGGACAAGGCCTGGGCCTCGGCGGGCAGTCTCTAAGCCTCCTGTTGTCCTTAGTGCACCAGTTCTGCTTCAGGACTCGGTTTTCCTAAATGTCAGGTACTGGGTTGAGCCACATTGGAGATTTTCAAGTGTTTATAGCAACAGAAATCTATGCCCACTTGAAACTCAAAGTGGTCAAAAGAGAGCTGCTCTGTAGAGCTGGGGAGTGGAGACCCCAGTGACCGACAGGAGAGCCCCTGCCCAGTCCCACGAGACCTTAGCGCTCAGTGGAGCCCAGTGAGAACACTCCTACAGGGAGGTTGAATCTCTCGGGTTGTCAAAGAAAAGGGATTTGCACTCAGACCCCTCACATTATCCCTAAATTTATCTTTCCCTCTTTCTCCTCTCCTCAGGGAGAGCTCTGAAAAACTTAAGGAGCACTATAGCCAAGACGAGTCCTTGAGCAGAGAACTGATGACCAAGGTAGAGTGGAGGCTGGGGGTCTGGAAAGAGAGGAGGAGTAGGGGGAGTGGGACTGGGCAGGCTGTGGTTTTGATAGTTTCTGACTTGAATTTTCTCTGAAACGTTCCCCTCTATCTTGTCCAGGTTAACAAGGAGAGGGATCTGTTTGGTCCATGGGCTGGTGGGGTGCTGTTTTTGGGCAGGAGGCCCTGGTCATAGGACACAATGGTGTTGGCTGGGCTGTTCCAGGAGGAGTTGCCAAGGTGGCACCATCAGCAGGTCTCTGGCTTCCATGTATGTCCATCCTGCTGGATGTAGCTTCTTCCAGGCTGTTGGGTGGTTGGGGTGGGTTTAGCCCTCAGCCTAAACCTGTCCTCAGGAACCCAGGGCACTGCTGCTCCTTCTATCTTCACCACGTCTCCAAGCGGGGGCACCCTGCCTGCCCCAGGGACGGGCACAGCAGGGGATTCCAATGGCCCAGGTGGACAAACAGGCTGCTCATCCTTGGGCCTGAACGGCTGCACCAGAGACAGATGTGTGTGCATTCTGGGACTCCCCACTGGACCCCTAGAGCAGTCACTCGAGTCAACCACAGGAGTCTCACCTGAGTGCCTGGTTGGCAATGACATATGCCCCAGGTGGCTTATGAGAAGTGTCTAGGCAACTGATGGATTCTTAGTGGATCCTGCTGAAAGGACGTTAAGAGCTTCATGTAAACGAGGGAGCAAAGCATCCTGTCACGCCCTTCCCTGTTGATCAGAGGTGGCACCTTGGGGGTCCAGTTCCTGAGTGGATAAAGAAAGAGTTCAGTGCAGGGGAATGTCCTGAGGGGTTCCTTGGGGAGGAGAAGGCTTTGGCACGGCCTCTGTCCTAGCCTGGGGGCCAGACACTCCATGGGACTGGGGCAGGCAAGAGCCACTCAACCGGACTCCCAAGACACCCCATCCTCTCCACCCACAGCTCGGCCCAGGACCAAGATTTGAGAGCTCAGGGGACAGGACTCTTGTCATTGGTGAGGTTGGGGGTTAGGTGAGGATGTTGGAACAGGGCCTCTGGCTGGGAGGGGCAAGCGGCCTCTCCTCTGTGGGCCCCTGAGCAACTCACTGCCCCTGTTTGGGCCTCTGCCTCCTCATCACGGAAGTGGAGGGATGGTGATTGTGTGGTGCTGGCCTCACAGGGTGGTAATGAGGTAAGAGGGAGGAAAGGAATGTGGGAGCTTTCTGCCTGCTCCACCTGGAGTGGTGAGGGCGAGAACAATGGTGACAGTCATGTGACATTGAGTCCTCAGGAGAACCTGTGAGGTAGCTGGAGTTCTCACACCTTCCAGATGAGGAAACAGGCTCGAGGAGGCCAGACCAAAAGCCCAAGCTCACACCCAGAGTGAGAGTTGGAGCTGGGCTTGTTCTAGAATCATAACACCTTGGAAGACGGAGTAGCATTGGTACCAGTTGACTCGAGTCAGATGTCCAGTGTCGGAGGCCAGTGGTGCTGGAGTGAAATGGGGCAAGGGGACTATGACCCTGGCAGGAGGGGCCCTCCACATTTGCCCCCCCGGAGATCATCCCCCAGAGAGTGC